GCCGGTGAGCATTTCCTCCCTTTCAAGGGTGATAATGTCTCAAACGTGATAAAACGGAGGCTTCGAGGCACAATTGAAAGAACGTATCCCGCCGCTAAACTGTTGTACGTAAGCACAACAACGGCCATTCCAGTTCTACCGACTAAGGACCCTCTGCCTATGCACGCCACTTCAAACTGTTTACGAGTTCACATGTAGTTGCGGATGCAAATACATCGGGCGCACGCAAAGGCAATTGGCAATGCGGTCAGCTGAACACATGCCGAAGTGGTTGCTCAGGGCGGAACATAAAGTACCCAAGAGTTCAATCACTAAGCCCTTAGTGGACACTGGCCATACAGTCGACCAAACAACTGCATTTAAGGTCGTACTTCGGGCGACGACCGGGCGTCTTCTACGTTTTGCGGAGGCCGCTGCAATACGGAGAAGAAAGCCAGAGCTCTGTAAGCAGCTGGATCATGTGATCAACCTCGCACTGCCGTGGTAACGATCGATAAACTCATGCCCGCTTACGCCCGCTTACCCTAAGGAGTGACTGCTACCCTGTCCCCTGCCCCAACCCCCCCTCCCCTTTTAACCACGTCCTTCTGGCTTTCATAGACTGCTATGCTGTGACAATTACCCCCCTCCTCTACTCACTATGCGCCCACATCTATGACTAATTGTCTCTACTCCCTTTACCTATCATGCTTCACCCATCGAGACTGACACTTAATTGAACAGTTAATTTCCCTTATTAATAGGCAACGACCGTTTGCAGCTGATTGAGAGGTCACGAAATTTCATGACGTCATTAAATTCTGCTCAACTCGTGATCTTTGCCTTGTTCAAATTTCTTCCGGGAAAACAATGTTCCAATATGTGTATATACTTTATTTATACTTATCTTCACATGTATGCTTTTGGTTGCTGGAAAATAATTCCTCCAGGCTATGAAAAAGAAGCCACAGAAACCTTGTACAATTTGCCAGTAGAAGTAGACCATGTTGTATAGCTCATAAATAACATTGATAAGTGGACAGATATGGTGCATTTTAAACAATCTCACAACTGTTAACATAATGATGAGCCGAAAGACGCACTTGTAACATTGGAAGATGAGGTAATTTGCGTCTAAATGGGGATGAAGGGGTTTTATTCATGCTTTCCATAAAACCTATTTGAATTTATAAGGCCATCAAAATAAATGTGAAACCTACACGCTACTCTCTTTTGGAGGCAGTGCAAAAGGAGTTCATTTAGAGGACGGCATCCTATTTTGGCTCATGTTACAGGATACTCAACAAAACATTTCAAGATTAGTACATATGTGTACACCGATCATATGCAGGACACACCTGCCCTGGTATTTTTATGCCTTTCAGCTGTCATGGGTGGATATGATCACACAACTGTATGCCACATGACTAAGTATATGTTGCTTAATATATTTCAGTAACATTTATTTTAGGCATTACCGGCAGAAACATTGGGACTTGCATTATACGTATTTCTTCATTAGGTCTCATCAGATGCAGATGCCCAACTCCAGTGTAGCTGCGGAAATCGCCGCCACACTCGAGATTCGAACCCACGCCACTCCGGTTAGGGACGAACGCCCTAACCACTGGGCTATCGAGCTCGACGTTTTGCCGGTTGTTCATCGGGGATATAGATTAGTACATACGTGTACACCTGACCGGAGTAACGCGGGTTCGAATCTCGAGTGTGGCGGCAATTTCCGCGGCTACACTGGAG